CTCACGGTGGGTGGGACGACAACTAGAATTCAAGTTTGATACTTTGCCTCAAGGGAATCGAAGTGTTATTTTTGGCTCATCCGTGTATCTTTGTGGTTCCCAATATTCACAATGTAACGTTGCCGTAAATTCTCGATCTGTGCTGCTGCTTTTGTCTGTAGGCCAGGAATGGTCTCAAAGGGGATGAATCTTCCAACTCTCATTACCTTGTTAGATTTCAATCCTTGTTTGCATCTTAACTGCAATGTATTTCAGTGCATACGCTATGTTGATGATGTTCCCCAATATTTATCATATTACATTTTCTCTTGCTATACAATAAATATATTAAGCAGATGATGACAAAGACGGGGGGTGCCTCAGACTTTGTGCAACCTATGGTCCACTGATTACCGATTCAAGTGCATAACATGACATCACAGAAGCGGTGGATTGCTCATTTTTTTTACAAAGACTGGAGTTGGACAGTCCAAAATTTGGGTAAGTTGAATTTCTTGTGTTGAAAATTGTTGTTGAAATTTGCCCAAAATGACTTAAGCTTATACCAACAAAGATGACCTCTCAAGACAATACATAAGCAGATGTTTTCTACCCGCGGCACACCAGTCCTGAATATTCACTCATTACGTCCTGCAGTCTCCCTGCGTGTTGTTACTCCTGTAGTGTCCAGGTTTCATGAATCATGCAGCTCACAGCAGCGATAATTATCCCCCAGGCCGGCGGGAATACAGGCTGATTACGACGCACAATTTAACCCATTTGTTAAACTAGGCCGACAAGCCTTATTTAAAACATGCCAGATGCTCTGTTGCAGTCGTGAAGACTTTGGGATGGTCAGTCCTCATTGTATCCAGAACCATACTTATCTAGGTGTATATCTGAATAGGTTAGGGCAGGTATAGAGTTCTGGATAGACTACGCGAAACCAAGAACGTAGATATGCGTGGACTACTCAGAACTTTGCCTGAGCATGGTTCTGACTAAGAAGTACTGTTTTCAACACTGATGTGATATATTGATACTAACACTGTGATCTTTTATCCTTCAAAATTTCTCTTTGTGCATAACCCTTTCTGCAGTCTAAAATATACATTCTGTAAATGGTGAGGTGCAAATGAGCGCAGGTGGTTATTTCAGGCCTTGAATTTTCATATGGTAAGATGCAATGGATATAGGTGGTTATTTTAGACCTTGAAGTTTCATATGGTGAGGTGCAATGTATGTACATTGTAGATGATCATTTCAGACCTTAAATTTTCATATCTTGATGACTGGTGCAATGGATGTAGATGATTATTTCAAACCTTGAATTTTCATATGGTGAGGTGCAAATAGATGTAGGCGATTATTTCAGACCTTGAATTTTCATATTATGGTGAGGTGCGCAAGGGATGTAGGTGGTTATTTCAGACCTTTAATTTTCATATGGTAAGTTTTAAATAGATGTAGGAGATTATATCAGACCGTAAATTGGCATAGCGAGGTGTAAATAGATTATTTCAGACCTTAAGTTTTCATATCTTGAGGTGCAATGGATGTAGGTGATTATTTTAGACCTTGAATTTTCATATTTCTGCCTCCTGCTGTATGAAGCAGTAGTTGTCGCCGATTCGTCTCGATGAGGAGAATCCGATATTCGCGGGAAAGCTTAATCCGTCAGATGTTATCCCCCGCTGATGGATCGGTCACGGTGCCACATTGATCGGTAAATTTCAATATAACACGAGACTGGATTCCCGTACAGCCGGGATATATCTCTCTCTGGCGAGATATCGTTCCCAGCGGTACGCGAGAAGCACCTTGTTACGATTAAGCAGGCGAGAATTTTATCAAGGACATTGAAACAAATATGATCTGGATCCAGATCTAATGAATACAGAGGAGGTATTGGAATACTCCACGTTTGCTCTGGTGCGGTTTAAGCCTCGTACAATAGACCACCTGTTAGCGGAACAAACGAAGGATGTGAAGTGAGATCATCGGAAGAGAAAAATATACTCCAATAAGCTCTGTGGAGCAGGCCATGCATAAACAAAAAGAGCAGCAGAGCTATCTTTACCAAAGGCGGCCTCTCTCTCTGTTTGCAGGAATCGAATCCATGTAAATTTGTGCGGACTCACGAATGTTGTTATAGTCCCACGCCATTGCCATGTAAATCCTGTACACGTTGCTAGCGGCATGGGTACATGTATGCATTGAACCTACCTCCGTGTATTGAACAGGTGCATGGTAAGTCCATTCCTCTCTGCGCACCCGAAATTATTGTAGGGGATCTCAGCAGGTCAATCTGTTATTATTACAAGGTACAGCTTGAGATATAAAATGGTTTCCTTTGGGAGATTTGTAAAGCTGTTGTCACATTTGTTTGCACATGTTCGTACGGTGTGAAGTGGTGCATTAGGCGTTACTTTAAGAGTGATGTCCTTATCTTGTTCTTCGTTGAATGGCCGCCTTGTGCAATCGTAATTATTGCTACGTAAGCAGCATGCAAATGTTAAAGTAGTAAGCCGGGGGCACCAATCTTCACTGATGATCAGATACATTCATTTTCCTTTGAAAAATGCTACACCTACTCCTGTTTTTTTTAATCTATGGCTGACAACGCCAGCTGCTATTTTCATAAACGTTCAAGCTTCTTCACAATCCACAATGGTTGACTGTAAAACTACAATATAATGCTAACTGCGCTGTTCGCATATGCAGATTTAGTATCCCCGACTGCAGGCATTGTTGTAAATAACCCTGGATCCCCGAGCAAGGCCAAACTTTATTAACTTCAGCCGCAACTCTGGTCTGTCTGATACCATCTCATACCTCACACATGGGACTTCTATATATTATGTGCAGGGCGGAACATATAGCAAACGGTGCACACATAATACATAATATACACACGTAAATTTAATATGGAAACTGAAATTATTATTCTACTTTATGCATTTTCTTGGCAGTTTTATGATATAAGAATCCCGTGCAGTTCATATGTAGAATGTCAGCGTTGTTTGTAGTTGTTTAGGCGCCGTTACGTTATTGAACATGAAATGTCATGCCGATTTAGAAGTAAATGTTTTGACATTTCATGGAGACAGAGGCGGCGTCGCAGACGCGTTGAACTCTTCGCAAAGTCAACGACTCAAATTCTATTACTGGCGACATGTTCTCCGCGGTACAGATGGAATTACCCTCGCCGTGTTATGCGGTGTAGTCGCCAGACTGTGGCCCATTGCATGGCAATAGCTGGTGGTCGTTATAGTGAGTGGTACGCGTAACGTTTTTTGCCAGTATTACTTGAATGGTTGTAGCACATGGGGCTTCTTATACTATGGTAAAGTGTGGAAAACGTATTTTTCTTATTAGGTAAGTGTGCAGGCAATATCTGTTGTTTGTCTTGTTACTGTGGTAAAGCTATGGAGATATAGCAACGTATACCTACTGTAAAACTGATATTAGCTCCTTCTTTATCAGATAGGTGTGGCCACTATATCTGCTGTTATTTCTTAGTTTGAATCGTAGTCAAAATATTAAGGATGCATTTTTTCTGACAGTAACGGAATAAACAAAGGATTTTTCAGCTGTTGAAACGACGAAAAAAAGACGATATATACTTGGGTGTTCCCACGGGGTGTTTTGAGGCCAAGGTTACCAGTAGATGGTTGCGCCATTTTTCTTGATAATCCTCCCATTGCCGAGGTTTCTCCCTAACGAGTGCTGTTCATAGCGCGGCGTCTATTTCCGATGGCACACAGAGGAATAACTCGGTTACACTCAGCCTGAGAATGGGACTTTAAGCCGCCCAAACGTTCATTAGGACGTGGTTTATGTTTACTGCTGCCGCCACGTTGCTGCCAATGTTATGAGAGACTAAGCTTTAATTGCCGAGTTAACATTCTCTATTCAGGTGACCTATAATGTGGAATTAGCAATCTGTTGGTCCCTATTCTATTCACTAATGTCGGGCGTGACCGCGCACATTTTGGGCTTTGGCTCCGAGTTTTTATTTCCATTTCTCACTCCAGTGATCACCGCATCATTGGTAGAGCGGCATGACAAACATGGCGTGGAAACGTTTTCTGTTTATTACATCATTCCTTTGGAGATGTTCAAAGAGAAGAAGAGCAATACCGGCAGCAGTAAAAGGGCCTAGAGGCACAAGGTCCTCTACTTCCACCCATTTCAGTAGTGCTGTTTGTCACTGGACCATCCATAGATGTCCGGAAAGAAAAATGTTATTGCCCACTGTTCCCCTGCCTCCGTATTTCCTGTCACCCAAGTCACCCCTTTTTATGACCTGGTGCAAAATTTAACTGCCTAAAATTTAGGGAAGACTACGAAATACTGGCCTGGGGGTAAGACGGGGTCCCTTCTCTTCTCCTTGAAGAAATTCTGTTATTTCCTTTTTGTTTACTAAGTCCAGTTCTCATCCCATGAAGTATACATGTATCAGTAATACTGATAGAAAAAAAAAAAAGCTTCACGGTTGTTCTTATTCCCAGTGCTGAGGCGGCCGCTGGAAGGTCAGCCTCACAATGCGGATGTGAAATTGCGGCCATAACTTTCCCCCGTCCCACGATTCCAGCCAAGATTTCATCATTGCCTCTCACTGCAGGGTCAGCCCAAAATAACAAGTGCAAATATTGCAGTCATAATTTCTCTTCGCACCTGCAGTCCGGAGGCCATGCGTTTTCCATGGCAATGTCTCACTGTATCTGGTAAAGCCTTTTCTCTAGCTGCCCCTTTAGTGCAGATCTGGATTTTCGTTCCATAATTAATTAATGGATGACATAAATCAGCCACTTCCAACGAGCTTTTGCTGCTGCTTTCTACCATATACTCGTGTATGTACCTCGATTTGAAGCCGTGACACCTACCACTGCAAATCAAACTCCAGATGTAACGGACCTTTTCGTGAATTGAAATGTGTCTATCTGATACAATCTGAAAAAGGTATAAAACGGGAACTAGCTCAATCATTGTCATATGCAGTCAATATGAAAACTCACCTTCTGCTACTCTGAGTCCGTACAGCCCATCCAAGTTGATGTCGTGATAGGACTCCAGGAAAAACACCACCGCCTTTTCCAGGGCATCCAACACTTCGGCAATGCCGGCAAAGTTTCCGTGCCCCCCTCTCGCCTCCCCGCTCCTGGTGCCGCCGCTACCGTACGCAGAACTGTCGTTTCTCGGGCTAACCTCTCCGTCTGAGGCAGAGGAGGAGGCGCTGCTTCTGGAAGAATATCCCCCGCCACACGCCAGGCCCGCGAACACAAGCCACATCGCCGTCGGCAGCCTCATGTTCCCCTCAGCGCGTCCTCAGCACCCCTGTCCGGTCCGTCCATGGGTCGACCCTGGAATGAAACAACCCACATGAGCAGATGGGCCGGCGTCGAGTCAGGGCGTCATCAACTATTCATGTCATCCTGCGCCCTGATTCGTCACTACATACGTGTCACGTGACAGTCTTGGCAGTGATTGGTCAGTTTGTAAGTCATCATCTCTTCAATCCGGAGACTGACAATCGATGCTTTGTATGCTGCCCGCGAATATAGCCACGCACAAAAATGTAGAAAAAGAAACGATTTTATAGCTACCGATTGGCGATGTATATTGCCACCAATGATCTGTCATTATTCAATGATGCTTCCCATTTGCTTCTGCGAATAACTAGATAAAAACGGCAGCGGAGGATAACGAGCATCCCTTGCCGAGATGGATTAAAATCAGACCGTGACGCAGGGTGAACAGAGCATGGCAATACATTAATTTGATTTGGTACAGCGGCTCTGTATGACATTCAGCATCACACAAAGGGCAGCAAGAAAGATACATCTATCGCTTTGTATTTTCTGCTACAGATAAGAAGCGGGGACTTTGATGCTTCCAATTCAGAGAAGCCCGGCCCCCTCACACGTCAGCTCGCAGATCTAGAGTTCTGTTGGAGTGGCGGAGACGTACTGCAGTGGTTTGATAACGCAGTTTGCAGCAGCCTAAGTCTGTTACTTACAGTCACATTGTTTATCTGTACGTACTGGATGGGTGGATGGGACTGGACGTGTGCCCACACGCTAATGCAGGCACCGCACTCTCAGGAATAGGACCAATCCTTAAGATGTAAAAGGAAGATGACATTCTCCAATTAATCTAAGAGCTTCTTCCGTTGTAGAGTGCCTCGGAGGCTTATTTTCCAAGGCTATGTGACTAACTTCATTCCCGTATATCAATTTAGGTGGGCGAAGTGTATGGGGGACGCGTGTATCTTCCAAGCAATTTGATTACTGCTTTTTACTCTGAGGTTGCCAAAATTTAGTTTGGTATCTCATTCAATCCTGTAGTGTATTGAGCTCCGTGTAGCTCTTAGGCCTGGTAATGTAATACTGGAGAATGTCACGGGTTTAAAAAGATTAGTACCAGCGGGTGAGCATGTGTAGAAAGGAAATGGACCTCTACTTTAGGAGCAATTTTTGTCGCGAGTATCTGTGATCAATGATAGGCATGGAGAGAAGGAACCGTGAGGAAAATAACGATTGTGAATATTGTGGATGTGTCGTTTGTGTTCTGAAGACTACAGGAATCTCAATGGATCCATACCGTACATGTATGCATGGCTAAGTCTTGTATTCGTGAGATTCGTTCGCCATATATATAGAAATCAGTCCTGTAATCCTGCAAATGGCAAAGAAAGGGTCGAGCTAGGAATCCATACTACATGCTGCGTTTTCGACAATTTGTTCTAACTCTTTGAGCAGGTCTACTTTAATACTCTATTGTACAGTCCGGTCAGGCAAGCTTGTATCGATCTAGAGGGCACACACACATCAAGGTGGAGTACCTTTTGTAGGCAGTAAGCGCCCTTACAAGGCAACTTAAAGGCCAAAGTACGGGAAATGCCGAATCAACGTTGGCGTCAGGCAAACCAATCAATACTTGGTCAGCAACAAGGGAAAACCTTGGTCAATAAACCGTGGTTCTCAGTCGCTGAACCCCCATAACAGAGACAATGCCCCCTCTTGTGATTTCCAGGGTGTGCCTTTCATGGTAAGAAGGGTCAATTGTGGTAGAGTCAGGCGTAAATTTACAAGAAGCATCAATGTCTAAAACACTTTTCTTGTCGATGAAGCAATGCAGACAGATTCCTCTGCATGTCTTCGGAAAAGAAACAATATCATCTGTGACACCTTGAACTGATGTTAACATTGTATTCATATTCCATATATATTGTATAATCCATCACGCACAATTATAGGGTAGTGTTAGAATAAGGTATCTAGAAGTAGATTTTAGTATTGTTGTTATCTTTTGATTTAAACACTTGCCATACATTGAATCCATTGCAATTGTTGCGCAATAAAGATTGATTGATTGATTGTCATCTACCAAACACCCAAAGACAACACATAGACTGAGCAGTATATGACGTATACGAGAAAGCTGACCACTAAACTAATGACGTGATGTTTTGTTTCCTTTTTTTTGCTGTTTGATGAAATTGTTTGTATCTCGTGCGACAGGGTGTACCATTCTGCAATAGTTTTGTATATCTTATTCCGTGTTGCATATCTGGTCCCGTAGCTATGTTGATTCGACACAATGTGTAGAGTATGAATGGTTGCAGCCCCCGTCATTTTTGCTTTCGGTCGTCACTACATCTGCTTTCGCCTCAATTCATAACCTAGCTCAGCCGAAAGCTAGCCGTGATCAGGCGATAGCCTTTCTGAAGACGCGGTCCTCTTACTTAGATTACCTTTGATATCCTAGATATGATGTGATTATCATTAGAATAAATTTGCAGTCATACATCCTGCCTCAGTGTCTAACATGTAACATTAGCCTGAGAAACTGTTACTTAAAAGCGCGCGGCAGATTAGTCTAACGCTGTCCATACGTCACATCGTCTGTTCCCACCATTTTACCTCCCATTCACTCATTAGCCATATGCTGTTGGAGGATAATTTATGGTTATTGTAGGAAGGACT